CGTAGTGGCAAAAGAGAAAAGCGGTCAAACATATTATTCGTTTAAATGATTAAAACTTATATTATATAAACAAATATTTTTAATTATATTATTGAATGATTGACTTGTTATTAGGATTTCGGGACTTTAATGTATTTATAAAGTTTACTTTAGTCATCTACAGTATATATATGATAAATATATCGTAATGTGAGTGCAAAAGGGCCGTATCTTGGAAAAAGTCGTTTCCAAATAAATGGCTTCAAAGTTTCGACCATCCACAAGAGTTACATTTTGTTTTGGACATTCGTATTAAGTTCAACTCAAAATTATACAAGTTACTTGCACTTTTAGGTAGAGAATAATAAACTATAATGAATTATATGATAATATCAAATTTCGATGTATATTCTCTTGCACTCAAAGTATCCGCGTTTATCTTTCTTAACCATAATTATTATATATTAATTAGTAAATTTGTTGCGAGGGTCGTGGGGAATACTATAAAACATCTATAATTAACTTCCACATAATTAGATTTGATTTTTCATTTAGTGTTGGATGCCTGAGAAGTGGTACAATCAAATTTTATAAATGTAAATAGTCCTATCCCTACTTATAGTTATACTTCCATTATTAAATCTAATTTTTAAAAATTTCTAATTTTTTTATGAGATATCATTAAAAATCTACGAATTTTTTTTTTTTAACGTATCTTTTTTTTCCAGTCAAATTCAATAGTATTAATTATTGTTTTGTTATATAGCTGTGCTAAATAGTAAATTATTTAAATTTATAAAGTAAGTTGATACAGAAAAATATTTAAGTGAGTTAATATTCAAATTAGTCGTTTACCAATGAATTTTGTCAAGCGTTAAGTTAATTAAAAATATTGATGCTATAATGTTTCAAAGGTCAACATATTTGGATGTTTTAGTATCATGTTACAGTTTCTTTTTCTACACACGTGTGGTAGTGCAAACTAAATATTTGACTCTATTTAAGTCTGTACTAATTTAACATTATTAAATCAATTTCAAATAAAATTATAAAGATTAATTATTCTTTTATACAGATATGAGATCATGTAACCGTTAGATTAACTTATAAGGTCGATTAGTTATTTAATTAAAAATCATTAATTTAAACAAAAAATACTTGAAATTTTTATAAACCTAAAGAATTTTCTGAATTTAAAATCTGAAATTCATATTCAAAATTTTTAATTTAAATTCGAAAATTAAGTGTTAATGTGGATATTTTACCGAAATACTCACTAAAATATCAAATAAATTCGTATTCTATTTAATTTTTTAAGTTTTTGTTTGCTTTATGCTAATTTCATATATTAATACATATTATTTTAGTATAGTGTGTTCCCAAGAGTCGTAGAGCAATATATATATATACAGGGTGGCCCACCACTCACTGACAACTTAAATAACTTTTGATCCAGTTAATATTTTTAGTTGATTTTTTTTTTAAATAATAGTTATACGTTAGCTCTATAGCTATATCTCAATAATTAATTTTTTTACATTTTATTAAAAATATTAATTATTTTTAAATTTTAAATAAAATGTAAAAAAAAAATCTAAGATAGCTATTTTGTAGAGTAGAATTTAAGAAAAATTTTAGTAAAAAAATATCTTATTAATATTCAGTAGTAAATATTCTGTAGCGTTTTGAAGTTTGTGAAAATTTGAATTTTCATGTACTATTTTACGGTATTAAACATTGAAATACGTATTGAGAAAAGGACAGAAGAAAACGCTATCTTTTCATGATTACTGTGTATACATATGATGATAGTGTGTATACATTACAAACTTGGCATAAATACCATGATAAGAAATTAGATAAGGCAATTATTACTTATCACTCTCATTCAAAAGTATATTGAAAAGATAGCGTTTTCTTCTGTCCTTTTCTCAATACGTATTTCAATGTTTAATACCGTAAAATAGTACATGAAAATTCAAATTTTCACAAACTTCAAAACGCTACAGAATATTTACTACTGAATATTAATAAGATATTTTTTTACTAAAATTTTTCTTAAATTCTACTCTACAAAATAGCTATCTTAGATTTTTTTTTTACATTTTATTTAAAATTTAAAAATAATTAATATTTTTAATAAAATGTAAAAAAATTAATTATTGAGATATAGCTATAGAGCTAACGTATAACTATTATTTAAAAAAAAAATCAACTAAAAATATTAACTGGATCAAAAGTTATTTAAGTTGTCAGTGAGTGGTGGGCCACCCTGTATATTGACTTGTTTAGTTATAGCAAATATAACAAAAAAATTGTTCTAATACAATATTAGAACATTTCATAACTAATAAAATATTAGAAATTTTACTTATAATAGAATTAAAATTTTGTTACAACCAATATTGAGAATTTTCTAAAATTTATAACATTTAACATCAAAAATGTTTTTAGTATAAAAGATAGCTTGCTCTAAATAATTGGGGTTGATAATTTTTTTTACATAAACAAATCACTCTTAAAAATATGATTAAATAGGAAAATAAAATTTGATTTGTTTTTCTGGGAAGTTGTAAGCTGATTAATACGCTTATTTCTACTTCAACTACCCTTAATTTACATCAATAATAATTGTATATTTATCAAACTATTCAGCTTAGTTACGTCTTAGTGTATGGGTATCGGATTTGATTCAAATTGGTGTATGCAGATTTTCCGAATTCTCAAACATAACTATTAAAAGTAGACGTTAAATATAAATAATAAAAAATTATTATTAATAATACATATTAAGCTAGTTGATTTATAAATACATACTTAAGAATTAATTAATCTCGAATAAAAACTATGTAGTTTGAAATCGCAATTTTTTGCAAATCGGATAAATGTGAATTAGATCATTTATATATAAAAAAACAAACGACCTCTAAAAGAGTATATAAATATAACTCATATTTGTAACTTTTCTGTAAGCTTCTTAATATTTAACAAATTTTTATTCTTTACGAAATACAATACAATAATATAAATTATTATTACACGCATATATGAACATTTTAAATGAAAATTAATAACTATATTTATCAGACAAAACTTAAAAAAAATAGTAGCTTTTATCTTATAACTTGGAAATTAACCAATAGACATCGAGCTACAAACGCATAACAAAAAATAAACAACATTGTTATAAATATGCTTGTATGTAAAAAAATATCTATTTGTATACACTGATATATTCTTTATTCATTTTTTTAGATTATTATTGGGTGAGGTAATTTTTTTTTTAAACACAATTTAAAATGTTTAACTGATAAATATTCAATTTAAAAAGTAGTATTTAATTAAGTTACAAAAATCTTTAATAAATGTTTAAAGAGGAATATGAAGGCAAAGGATATAATAAAATAATTTTGATACTAATAACAACTAAAGTGCTCTGAATACTCTGAAGTATAAATCTTGATTTCTTCTATAAGATATTATTAATAGAATTATTTGATTTTGGTTTGATATTTATTTTTTTTTTACAAAATAATACTGTTACTATTTTAGTAAAAAATATTATTTTCTATTGAATTTTAAATTTTATAATTGTTTAATAATTTTAGAATGTAGCTAAAAATCTGGGAGTCATTTAATTTAAAACTTTGAATTTTGTATATTTTATATAATGAAAATTAGTATAAACAGAAATATATATCAATAGTATTTTAAATTGTAGACATTCAGATTTAAAAAAACAATAATATATTTTTATTCCACTCTTTCATATCTTCATGATAATTAATTTTAACACCAGACCTTTAGCTAGTTAATGTACTAATGTATCTTATTAATGTAATTTTAAATTGTATGACATGACAAAGATATGTAAGTTATAACCTAAAACATATAGTACTCCGCTTAAAAATTTGATAAAAAAAAAACAACACTATTGTATGTCTGAAATAACAAAATATGTTATATTTATTACTAAATCAGTCAGAGTATTATATAATAATTATTCTCAACTTCACGAACAAAATTCTGAACAAGTTATGTAGCAAATTAAGTAGCTTAAAATTAAACATGTATTTTAAACATTTTAGAATAGTATATGTATTTGAAATACTAAATATTTTGATTTTTATTGGAATTTTTTTCTTTGTATTTCTTAACTATTTAGATGTGTAAAAATATCAATACATTTTAGTGCTCAAAATATATTATTTGAAAACAATAATTTTTTTATTGAGACAAATGTCGTGATTCACCCCAAGAACCACATCTGTCTTTTTCCCTTGATCTTTAAAAAAAATTAAATGAGAACTCTCGTTATATTTTGCTTCAAGTATTCAAGTATATTTTTAACATGACTGTTAATAATTAATAATCATGGCCCCTTAAAATTTAATTATTTATTAATTTTAATCAACATTAATTGTTTTATTAGGTTTATATGAATTACATACCAATTCATTTATTAGCCATCCAATAAACCTACAAATCGTTATTGAAACTATCATATTTCTATACATTAAATACAATAAAAGCTTTTTATTTTTATAATTACAAAAAATAATTAATGAATATATTTCATGTATTTAAAAATATGAATGTATGATAATACTTGAGGATAAAACCAAAAATAAAATGAGTTTCTATACTTCATTAACTGATATGGGTTGTTCGGTCTGATTAATTTTTTTTAAGAAATATTTTTGATCTTCTTGACCCCAAATTGTTTTTAAGACGACGAAAAAGAAGAAGATTTCTCATATTCTAAAAATTCCATTTTTTTGTTTTTGTAAGTTCAATATTTAAACATACTATTATGATAACATCATAGAAAATAATAAATAAACATACTAACATCTCCAATAAGTATTTTTGTAGATGCTTTTATTTAAAATTTTATTTATTTTCATTAGATGCCTACACATTTTTTCTTAAATACAGAAAAAATTTTCCCACCTGCCTCTAAATTATACCTTGAAATCAATGCAATTGTTTGTTTTGTGATCTCTGTGACGCGTGTGTACTAAATTTTGAAAGCCTATTTAAATACAAATTTATTAAATTATGAATTATTTGAAATCGTTTTTTTTTAGTAAAAATTTAATTTGATCATTTCACAATGAAATCAATTCAGCTCGTATTAATTATGATTAGTTTCATAAAACCAAGTATATTGATCGACAATGATGTACATTTTATTTAGTTCTAAAATAATTTTTTATTACTATTATAAATAAATAAATGTTACAGGTAATTTTGTCCATAGAGGAACTGTATAATTGTTTAAAGGATGCAAATATAAACCATTTCATTATAAATAAAAGTAAGTTCTTTAAAATTATTTAAAATTAATAATTATATTATTATTATGATTGGATACAATTTATAACAATTAGTATACTACAAAGTAACAAATATTTATAAACGTTTCTATAGTTTATAATCTATTAATAATTTCGTCATAAAACTATTATAACAATTTTCATAGTAAAATAATAGTTTTATATTATTCTATAAAATAATAATTTCATGAAATTCAAAACATCTAATAAATATTTTAACCAAATTTTGTAGTTTTAAGTTGAGTTTGAGTAATATTTCTCGTAAAAAAAATGTATGTTATCAAAAATAACTTTTAGCTTCGATGTGAAAATGAGAAGGTATTAAAATTTTCCCATGATATTTATAATTTTTTTTTTTGGAGTCTGTCACTTCTTTTTCTTAGCTCTCACAGGACAAATTTTTCTCAACGATACGTCAAAGATCAAAAATCGTATATAGTTGAAAACATTAACCTCAAAAATTGAAAAATTTTCTCTTGTTCCCCGTAAATGGTGGAAATCCCACAAAAAATTACAATTTATAAAATCGGTAAATTGCGTTTTCTTTAATTTTTTTTCTTAAAATTGATATAACTTTTTTAAAAATAAACAAATTAAAATATTTTTTTTTATATAAGCACCTTAGATACAGTCCTTTCTTTGTGTATATTTCTTTGAAAATCTAACCACAGAAGGGTTCAAAATAGCAACTTTAGCATTATAAGTTAATATTTTTAAATGAACTTTTAAAATATTCCGGAAATACTTTGCCCTTTAAACATATGATACTTTAAAGCTTATGTTACGTACTATAAGTTAAAAAAAACTTTTTCTGACGAGTTATCTTCAATTCGTCAATGACAGCCGTAATTAAAACACAGGCTATTTTATGTAAATTTTTTTTTAATTTTATACGTTTTCCAAAGTCATGAAAAAATGTTAGAGTTACTCCATCTAAAAAATTTAATATGAATTATCTTTTTGCACATTTTTTTTCAATTTCAATTTTACACCATTATAACTTTTTAAAAGTGTACAAAAAATTGATCTATTTTAATTAATCTACTGGATATGATTTATTATTACAGATGAAAATAGAAGTTTTACATTAGCTTTCGTAGATGAATTAAATAAATGGACAAATTCTATAGCAAACGATAAAATACAAAATGAAGAATTAAATTCTAGTAGTCCTTTAGGACTATTAGATACTAGACTTATATTAATTAATCAAATAAAAGAAAATATGAGCACTTATATTTGTAATAAATTCGAAAAACATTCAGATAAATACTACAAAGATATATATACAAATTGTGCAGAAAAAGTATATGTATGTGCTATGAGTTATATTAATAGTATAAAAAGGTATACAGAATCGTGTAGAAAAAAAGATGAGTCGAATGTGTTAACCAAGACTATTAACACGATAAACTATAATACAATTAATAGTCAGGCTGGTCAAATTATTAACAACACGGCTGTTAACACACTCAAAAACATAGGAAATATTTCTAAAAGATTTTGGATGTAGATTAATTTATTAAAATAATTATTTTACAGGCTTTAACTCATAAAATTATTAATGATTTCATAATTTTTATTACTAATAATTATTTGTCCAAATTACTAGATGAATCAATATTTGTTGATATAAACCGTTAAATATTGAAATATTGTATTTAAAAAAAAAAAAATGAATTTTATTCAAGAATGAAAATTGTACGCCGTGTTATAATAATAAAACTAATAGAATATAGATATTTTTATATACTCAGTTGGCTAAAATAACGTCAAATTAAAGTATGTAAACCTAAAAAAATAATGGAATTCGCGATATAGAGATAGAATTTCGTATTTAATTAAAAAAAGAAATCAAACAACTTTTTTTTTTTTTTTTAACGCCAATTTCATGAAATATTTTACAAAATTTAAGTCATTTAAAGTTTTTAAAACGAAATTTTCGCGTATCCAATTATACGCGAAAATTCAGGTTGAGACAAAAGAATCTGAACATAACTCTGAGATTAGTTCGGACCTTAGAAATATGTCCCAATTCGATCCGACCCGAATATAAATGTAAAATTTTAAGCCCAATACGGCCCTGTCCAACTAAAAAAAAATGAATCAAGTCCAATCCGATCCATTTAAAAAAGTACTATAATTGAATTACACAGAAAAACTACATAGTTTGTCCATCCCAAATCACGGTTAATACAGTGACAACATAATTATATATTAGAAGATCTATCTTATATACTTGAACCAACTTTAAACCTAATTTATTTCGTAATTCCAACTGATATTACAGTTCTTTCAACTATATAATTATGTTATCACTATATTAACTATAGAATATTTTTGCTGTCTAAAAGGTTTTGATTTTAAGTTTAAAGGTTTTAGTTTTAATATTTTAACTTCATTCGTTAAATTTTATTTTCAAAGAAAATAAGTTTATTTTTTTATAATTCGCATGATCTAATATCAATGTTTGATCCGGCTTGATGGGACCCAGCAGCTCATTTAATTTCAAATTAAGCCCCGATCTATTTTAACCTCAGTTCTGACATGGGCCGACCCGAATTTGAACTGAGTTAAATTCGACCCGAACTGATCTTTGCCAAGTTCATAAATTTTGTACTGGCCTATCGATCGATAGTAATTCATTATCGTGATGATGAAAACAAAGGCATAATTTAACTGCCGTCAAAAACATTCTTAAAGGTAAAGCTAAAACAAACCACTTGTAGCAAAATTCAATTGAACGTCATTGTTTTAATAATAGTAATGACTCAATAATTATACACGCATATGTATCTAGGTAAACTCGTGTTACCGCCAACACACACACACACACATAGAACGGACAGATTGGGCAAGTTTCAATGATTCATTTAAGCATCTCTCGATTTCAACGTCACAACTTCACAATACTGAGCAGATCCGTTTTCCTCGCGGTGTTGTTCGGCGCCGTTACTGCGGAATGTTTCTCGGGGGAAATTCGTTTTGCGGTTAAATACTCTAAATACACACCGTATGATATCGACTGTTTTTAAATAATTTCGACGATTTCGGAACTACACGCTCCATAACTTAATGCACAGCTAACATCCGGCCACCACAACCACAACCGTCCAATTCAACGGACCGTTACCGTGGCAATAATTACCACGTCGACCCCGAACGGGCTAAAACGACCCAACGGCTTAAGCACCACTTGATAGTTGAGAATTAAATCATTCCTTCTCAACTTAACGGTCTCGCCTCGGGTATAAATTGATTGAACTTAGGATAAGAATTCTGTCGCAACGTTAGTACTTCGTGTATATTTGGCCACCAGTGTGGCCATTATGAGGATTATTAAGTGCTCCCTCCCTAAATAAGTTATTAGTCCTTCAAAATGTCTAAAAAAAAAAATATTTGCATTTTGCAAATTGTGCATCGATACGGTCCGAGATGTGTTTTCCAAGAAAATGTGAACGATTTCCTTTATTATTACTCCCATATTATGGTTTACTTACCATAGGTCGGATATGTTGCTTTGGGCTACCGCGGCAGAGATCGAGAAAGACAAAATGTATAAAAGAGAAACAAGAATAAATGACAATAAATCACGAACATAATTGAATCACGAATTGAATTATACACGGGAAAGGTACACCTCGCCACGGGCTATATCGCGTCATCATCATCATGGTCAGGATTTTTTTTTTTTAATTACACGTTTTTTCTCGGCAGACCGTAAATTGCCGCCGATATTTCAGCCCGGGTCCTACGAATACCCTCGAGAACAAATTGTTCACAGCGCATTATATTTAGTATCGCGATAATAAGAACCGTATCTAGTTTAGCGGTGGCACGAGGACACGGTGCGGGGGAGGACGATTCATTGAACAAAAAACGGGACAATCATTACTGAAACATTCATACGAATATTTTAACATACTTAGAGCGTCTCTCCTAACAGGCTAGACGTTTTATTTCTGTCCGCGGGGACCCGACACTCTGGTTGAACACCATTTCTAAGTTTTCATATATTTTTTTTCTTCTTGTCGCGCCGTCGCTCTATTTATAAGCTACCAGACAAATAAATTTAGCCGACGCCTCGGTAACCCCGAAAACGTATGGCGACCCCCCGGGGCGTCGGTGGCTATGCGGTCGGTCACTTCCGCCTCTCAGCGCAACACCACAACGTCACAGGCAGTTCGTTGCAGTGGTACGAAAGGACTGACATTCGACACGAGTTGGACCGTGACAATTTTTTTTATACACTTTGAGTTAACCGGCGCAACATACACGTGTATCGTTTTCTTTTTACTATCTTTTCGAAATTATTATCTCTTGCAATTACCTTTTTATTTTTACTGTTACGCCTCGAGTACTCAAAAAACAAATAAATAAATGGTACACTTCATTTGAACGCGACTTGCCATGATTCGGCTATAACCAACAGCAGCAAAACTTGCCGTGCGAAATGCGGGTTATGTTTTAATCTTTTTTCCCATTTAAGTGTCTTGTGACACACACCCGCATATTACATAGAAATAACTAGACGCGCTATTCTCGAGTTTTCATTCCGCTGTATTTCGTCACATTTTTTATTATTCATAATTGTGACCGATCCATCTTTAATAGCAATACCGCATGCAAACTAATTCAGTATTGGATTTTCTTAACGTTCAGAAACACGGCCTTGAATAAGTTATTAATATGGAACCACATAAAAATGACAATAATAATGCAGTGTATTGTTAAAAATACAAGAAGATAGATTATTTATACATATAAATGAATACAAACAGCCATCCTATTAAAAAAAAACCAATCACTCAGGATAATAAATTGTACTATTGAATAAGCAAACAAACTGTAACTACTGAGTTCGCAAGGATTTTCAATATCGCATAAGAAGGTCGTTTATACGTTAAAAAATGGTTTTCTCTTTGTATCGGTTAATAAAGGAAAATTATATTTGTTTTTTTCTTTTAATAAATTCCATTACACCATCTTTCATTTCAATCGGATCGTCTCCAAATCGTATTAAAAAAGGCGAAAGCTGTAAAATACCCTGTTTTCCCGGTTTTGTTGTAATCGCTGGATTATTATCAAAAACTTTTTTAATTGTGTACATGCAAAGCGCCGTCGTTTTTTAATTAACTCAAATTATTCCGCGACTTTTGTTATTTTCATTCAATTACAAATTCACTTTAAGACTTGCATTGTTTACCGCTCGTTACGCTCTTTTTACATCTTGTTACAGTGAAAACATTAAAATTAAAATTTGATTTTTTACAAATTATTCTAACCCGCTTACTCGAGGCAATCATCATTCTTGATATTTGTTACTTCCTAGAGCAAAGTGACACAGCCGTTTTACTAATAACCTTTTCATAATCATAATAAAACAATACTAAATAGATTTTTTTTTACTAAAAAGGGTACATTTTTAACATTAAAGGTACAAATCAGAAATAAACAATAAATAAAATTTCAAGTAATCTTTCTTATTTCATCTCTACGCCTAAAGTTTACTGCACTCGATATTTACACATTAGTGTATTTTATATCAAGTATGACACATTTGTTTGGATATTCTTTTTAAGAAAAACCGTCGATTGTAATGAGCACATGCATTTTCGCCATAAAATTGCATTGCGATGATACATAGCGGAGACCGGTTTTTAATTATTCATTTAAGTATCTAATTTATAGATAGTAACGTAAAATATAACTATTTATCAACGTTATGTTTTGTTTAAGGATAAAATGTAAGCATGTATAGTGCAATTGGTTTAAAATAAATACCTATAAGTCGATACAAAAGACATTATCTCATATTACGATACTTGAAATTTGTAGCTCTTTGCTCGCAATAAAAATTATAGCAACTATTTCAAAATAATTAATTTTATAATTACTGAAATTAAGCGCGATTGAATGCATATGTCATTTAATAATCTCGAGTATATGTATACTGGCAAAAAAAAGATGTTTCATTTGTTTTTTTAATAATTTTTTGACAAACAAGTTTACCGAGAATCATTGTGTAAAAAACTTGCAGTCAATTTATATATTTTCTGGCAATTATATAGAAATTCAAACGACAACGGTGCGTTATATACTCATCTTTATTGCATCAGACATTCGCATTTAATATAAATTCGAAGCTAACGCGCGTGAATCTTTTATGAAGTTGTCTTCGCTATGGTAGTTTCTCTAAACGTTGGACATATACACTGTTTATTTGGCGTCTTTACTGCTGTTGCTGTTTAAAAGTCCTTGTAATTATTATTATGTATATTTAAAGTACACGATCGTGGGCTAGAGAAATAACATTCCGCTCGAATGTGGATATGCATAATTTATCGGACCTATTCATAAAATATGAACCGAGAGCACGGTCTAACACACAATTAGTATGTTATTATGTAGAGAGAGATTTTAATTATTAGGTCTTCTTCGTTTTATACGTAATAATTACACCGAAAACAGTGACGGGTACAACGATGCCGCGCGGCAAACATTTCTATGATAAAATTATCGTTAAATACTATTAAATGATTAGCTATCATTAGTCGACGATTAGAAGGTGACACAGTATAAACAACACGTAAAAAATAAAACGTGGCTCGACACAAAAATTCCATTTGAATTTCTAATAAACATTAAGTGTTACGTACAAGTGTCTGCTCAAATAACCCTATGCTATGAACGAGTTAACCCAAACAAAGGTGTAAAATTTCTTTCGCGAGGTTAAGCCTTCTTCGAAATGTCGGGCCCTACAAAGCTTTGTGCGAGAAGACGACGGCGACAAATCTTATAATTATTAATGGTATGCTTTTGATCTCGGCGGATAGTACGTTCAGGAATATTTCTATTAGAA